AAGCAGCAAGGCTTAGAGCCACGTTGGAAACTGTTAGAGGAGAGCTTGCTTACCTGAAACAAGAACATGTACAACTCGAATTTATAGGAGAAGTAAAAACTTATGCAGATGGGTTGTTGCATTATGGCTGCCAGGATAAGAATTTTGTTTCCTTTTTTGTGAGAAAAAAAAAAATCTTATTGGCAGACCATGATGTGTTCCTTATTTGATTTTGTTGACTATCGGCCTTGCCTTCGGTTACTTTATAGGTTCTGACTTTTGGGATATGCTGCTTCTAATTTTTTATGTTCTGAATTTTTATTATTATATCAGGAGAAAGAAAAGGAGAGCTGGGAAGCTGCCACCCAAGCACTGAAAACGAAGCTAGAAATTTCTGAGAGCAACCGAATATGTGCTGATATTGAAGTAGCCAAAATGAGAAGTATATCTCTATTCCTTGCTGAATTTCATCTTTTTAGATATGCTATCTCTGTGTGTGTGTGTGTGTGTATGTATATATGTGTATATATATGTATATGTATATCAGTGTCACATACTTTTCTTATTGGGCAGGCCAGCTGGAATCAGAGGTGTCTGCACAAACACGAAAGCTTGATGTGAGGGATGCTGAACTTGCAGCCCTCAAGGAAGAGGTTTGATTTTACTCTTTTGGAATCCACCCCCCTTCCCTTAACATTTGATGACTGTGGAAGTGTGCAGCGATTTTATGTTTTTATCCTTCCCCGTCTCCCTTTATTTTCACTGGGGTTAAACTTAGTGACTATATTGTTGGTAATAATAACAGTTTTAGAACATAACACTTAATTACAAAAGTGGTATAACCATTGATTGTTTGGGGACACATTTGGTTTAGAACTAACAGCAGTTACTTGAATGCTCATGCATTCGGAATCTTCCTTTCCGACATCTACTGCAAATTGGGCTGTAATATGTTGTTGAAAATGAAGTTGCTTACATTTAAATATCTCTTGATCTGTCTTCTATCCTCATATGTTTGACCTATTATTTCTTGCAGATCAACCGCCTTGAAACTGAGTTTTCTTCTTACAAAAGCCGTGCTCATGCGCTTCTTCAAAAGAAGGATGCAGAACTGGCTGGAGCTAAAGACTCGGAACAAGTCAAGGCTCTCGAGGAAGCACTGAAAGTGTGTGCTTGCAATTAATCTTTATTTTTGTAGCATGAAGAAAAATCGTGATCTGACGCACTCATCTGAGAATTGTTAATTACATTTTTTATTTTTTCTGTAGGAAGCTGAAAAAGAAGTATTGTTTGTGAGTGCTGAAAGGAATAAGGCCCTTCAAGATCTTAAGGAAGCTTTGAAGAATCATGATAAAGAAATAGCAGAAAGGTAAAGTTATAATCTGCTACAGTGAGCTTGCCAAATTTGGGATTGTTTTCAAAGTTTCCTAATATGACCAATGAAAAAGGCAATATAATTATAGAGTAAATAAATAAAGCTCCGTGTGCTCTGTTGTGACCAATTTCAACATTTCGGTGTTTTAAACTTGTAGCCAATTTTTCACGATTTTCATGACCAGAATTATTTTAGTCATGGTGGCTGTTGCTTCCCATGTGGTTTGAACTTTGAACCTTGTTTGTTGCTTTAAAGGCTTCCACTTTTCATGGAGCATTGTTTGATTGTGCACAGAGTTAGGTAATAAACTTCTGTGAAGTGTTAAGCAATGATCTTGATCTTTCAGTTCCTTACATGTTACAGAGATGCTGCTCTTTACAATGCCATGCAGCAGATTAAGAGCTTAGAATCAAAGTTTGAATCTGCTAATGCCCATTACCGATCAGCAAAAGAAGCATGGGAAGCGAACCTTAATAGTTTGGAAGAAACATGGCGGGGTAATATCTCCACGCCAATCTACTTAAATATATCTATTATATTTTATTTTCCTTTCTATGTTTATCCTATTCCTTGGTCTAGGAAATACGTATTGTTCCAAGTTTGAGAGCAGTTATTCATGGAATAGTCATTTTTTCCAGTAAGATGTGACACACTGAGAGCTCAAACTGAATCGTCTTCTGGAGAAGATATCAAAAAAGAATTGGAAGAGCTCAAATTACGGTATAAAAAGCTGAAGGTAAGTTGCATTAATTTTTCATATATTTTTCCTGTTACAATGTCAGTATTTGTTTTATCTTAATTGTGTTCTCATTTGTAGGAGGAGCACAGTTCATTTCGTGATCTTGCTGATAGAATGATCGAGGAAAAGGACAGTGAAATTTCTAGACTTGTAGATGATAATAAAAATCTTCATCAATCGATGGAGTCAAGATCACGAGTAGGTTCTTTTTTCTTGACTGACATTCAAACTTTATCTTTACACTTCACTGTTCTGATGATGTTATTTCGATATGACCTCAGGCTGATCACCATGATAACTATAACACAGGTAGGTGGATCTGCAGTACAATTTCTTTTAATTTGTTCCAATTAGATGAAGAGTTGTGTATTACTTGAATTATGGCATTCTAACCTTATGAGGGTTCTTAGTGGAGTTTAACGTATCAATCACTTTTTGACGTTTGTGTAATCAGGCATGCATAAACAGGATGCCACAAGTATAAGCACCGCTGCTGCAGAACAACAGATTCTGGTAATTATATACTCTGATTATTTTTTAACGCGAAATTTTCTGGGACATTCTGAAGGGAGAACTTGGGTATTTCATTGAACCTTATTAGCATCAACTTAGACTGTCCATGTGATTCATTTTTTGTTGTAATGAACTTGATGGTTATGAGTTATTACTATTGAAGACAAGTAAGCTGTTAATCTCCTTTTCATGCTGTGCATTCAAATGATCATGTCCACGCATAATATGAATTTCAGATTTTGGCAAGGCAGCAAGCGCAAAGAGAGGAAGAGCTAGCACAGTCACAACGGCACATTTTAGCGCTTCAAGTGTGTAATTTGCCATCTTGATTGCTACTTCTCTGTAGTGTAGTTCTGATATATGTTTTTTTTCTTCAACTCAGGAGGAAATTGAGGAGCTGGAGCGTGAGAATCGTCTGCACAGCCAACAGGTACTGAGAAGTCTTGTTTTTGCAGATTTTTGCCCCTATTCGTTTGGCTTGATTGATTTCAGTTGTTTGGGAACTGTTTTTGTAATTTTAGTAAATTTATAGAATGCGGGCAGTCAGTAGATTTATCATGAATTCAGCATATCCAAAAGGAAAATGGTGGTGTAACCGAAAATATTTGTTTGTTTTTCTTAATACATGTTGATCTGATGAATGTCACATATGTAGGAATCCATGTTGAAGGATGAGTTGCGGAACATGGAAAGATCGCAGAAGAGGGAAGGAGTAGATATGACCTACCTAAAAAATGTGATCTTAAAGCTTCTTGAAACAGGTATTTTTACGAAGGGCTAAACCGAAGTACATGTTTTTTGTGATGTAATTTGGTTTTTGCTACATTCAAAAATCATCTAGTGAGACGCGAACATACAAGTGGTGTTGGAAAGTCTGAATGTTTTTATTATTCAAATAGGTGAAGTGGAGGCTCTATTACCTGTAGTTGCTATGCTTCTTCAATTTAGTCCGGACGAGGTAAAATCTTATCTCCTACTTGATGCCGTATAGTTAGTTGTTTATACCATTACTAGGGTTCCTTTATCATTTTACTAGATTATCAGTTGGATTCTAATTTAATGCATTTTATATACGAATGTAGTTGCAGAAGTGTCAACAAGCCTACCGCCAATCGGCAGATGTTCCTCCTAGCCCGGCTAGTGATACTTCAGGATCCGGTGTCTCTCTTTTCTCAAGATTCTCATTTTCATAGCCGTAGAACTGTAGAGACTTCTTTGCACGGATGCTGTGACAGCTAACCGCTTACCTCCAGATTCAGAGGTGGTGAAGGTGCGGCCATAGCACATCTTGTATTCTTTTTGTAACATTGAACATTAAATGTAAAGTACGACACAACCATATACAGCGCAAAGAGATAGCGAGAGAGAGGGTGAACAGTTTTTGGCCATGCTTGGTTATTCTATCCGGAAGGAAGCCCCTCGTCTCCATTGATTTGTTGTAGAGTGTAACAGAAGCAAAATCATGATTTTGGAGAATATATCGGAAAGTTGCGGTTTTACGCAACATCTGATGTTACGAGTGATATACGCTAGTGAGACAGTAGCCTCAGCATTCAGCTGGTTTCTTTTTACTCTCTTCGCGCTCTTGTACATAGCTGTTGCATGTCATTGTTTTTTTGGCAGCCAAGTGAGCAATTCTTTGTTTTTGTTTCCATGGTTGTGGATCGATTTGGGAGTTGTGACCATCCATTTCGCCATCTGCTGGTTCGGCAGGTGGGTGAGGATGGCCCCTTGTCCACAGTAAATATGCAGTCTCTATCCCGTGATTCGGCCATTGGTGTATGAATACACGCTCTTACATAATTGGTAATGGAACTATGGATAGTGATTTCAGCACTTTTTTTTCTTTTGTACCTTCTGCACATCCATGTTAATCTTGACGGGTTATTTTACTTGAGTTGTTCAATCTAACGGTTACAAATAAGGAAGGTGTGTATGAGGTGAGCAACGGGGTGTGAAAATAATTTTTCCTAGAACAGTATCTGATCAGATCGTTAAGTACAACTTTCGTCCATGCTCGACGATTGGGTCTCGCAGTAGTATTTTTTTTATCCACCAGAAGAGTACCGACAGGACATTAAGATCAGCCATGTGCAATGCCTTTCTGTGTATATATTGCCCAAAGATTTTTACAATTTTCCCAGTTCGATTTTTGCAATTTTCCCAGTTAGATTTTTTCTTCAAATAGCAATATAAAAAATGAAGAGTGTAACTGAGATTAAAAGCTACGTGAGAACAAGAAAAAAACAAAGACCTGTTACAAAGGGAAAGACCACCAAACGCTCGTCTAAAATGCGTTTCCTCCGCTTCTAAATTCAAACCAATTTCCTCGTAACTAATATTAGATTAATTTAGAACATCGCTCGAACTGTAAAAACAATTAACAAACTTTACTCACTGAAGGATTGTATTATTCATTACTCTGAGCTTATGACAACAAAATTTAAACATCGGAAATTGACTTCAACTTCATAAACATCAAACGACAAACAGTTCGGGACCCAAAAAAAAAAACACAGCAAACAAAAACAAAACAAAGATCCTAACAAATCTAGTAGAAATTTATGTTTCAAAACAGGGTAAAATCAATGTTTCATGCATGCTTTGCCTGGAACTCCTTCATGAAAGCAACCAACTTCTCCACCCCGGCCAAAGGCATTGCATTGTAAATCGAAGCCCTCATCCCTCCCACCGACCTATGCCCCTTCAGCTGCACCATCTTCTCCTTCGCCGCCTCCTTCACGAACTCCGCCTCCAACTCCGCCTTCTCCAGCGTAAACGGCACGTTCATCAGCGACCTCACCGACTTCTCCACCGGGCACCGGTAAAACCCCTTGCTCTCATCAATGGCATTGTACAAAATGTCAGCTTTCCTCTTGTTCTTCTTCTCAATCTCCACCAACCCGCCCTGCTCCAGCAAATCCTCGAACACCAATCCGCACATGTAAATGCCGTAGCACGGCGGCGTGTTGTACAACGACTTGTTCTCGTCCTGGATCTTGTAGTCCAGCATCACCGGCGTGACCGGCTGAGCATTTCCGATCAGATCCTTCCTGATGATCACAATGGTTACCCCAGACGGCCCCACATTCTTCTGCGCCCCGGCGTAGATGATCCCAAATTTGGAAACGTCCACCGGCTTGGAGCAGAAATTGGAGGACATATCGGCGATCAGGAGGCCGTTATTCGGATTCGGGTAGGTTTTGAACTCGACGCCATGGATTGTTTCATTAGCGCATATATGCAAATACTTGGCGTCCGCGCTCTGCTCCAATTCCTCGAAAGCTGGAATCTTTGTGTACTTTTCGGATTTCCCAGACCAGATCACTTTTGGGTTCGAATACTTCTGCGCCTCCTTGACAGCCTTATCGCCCCACGACCCGGTTACCAAGTAATCGACTTTGTCGTCGGGTTTGCAGAGATTGAGAGGGATGGCGGCGAACTGGGTGGTGGCGCCGCCCTGGAGGAAGAGGACGGAGTATTCGTCCGGGATGTTCAGGAGGGTTCGGAGGTCGGACTCGGCCTTCTGGATTATGGAGAGGAACTCTTTGCCTCTGTGGCTCATTTCCATGACGCTCATCCCAGATCCACGCCAGTTGTAGAGCTCCGATTGGGCCTTCCGGAGGACGTGTTCGGGAAGAACGGCGGGTCCCGCAGCAAAGTTGAAGACCCGATCTTGGGATTCGGACTGGGCAGGCGATCGATCTTGGATGTGGGTGGTGGTGGCTGAGCATTTGACGGAGATGGGTTTGGCGGGGTTTAGGGTGGTGGAGGTGGTGGTGGTGGTGGTGGTGGTGAGGCGGGTGGCGGTCATGGGGATGGTGGCGAAGGGCGTTTTGGGGTTTTTGAGAAAATTGGTATTTGGGTTTTGGAGGAGGAGGGAGTGAGGTGTGGTTGCCATTGCCATGGTGGCGGTGTTGCTGCTTCAGAGCAAGCTAGAGAGAGAGAGAGAGAGAGAGGGAGAGGGTTTGGTGGCAAAGATCTGAAACTTGTTGGGGGTATTTATCTAATTTAAAAATTAGGGAAAATTTGTAAAATTGAATATTCGAAACAGGGAAGAAGTTGATACTGCCCGAATCAGTGGGGTTGGTGAAGAAAATGTTGAAAAACTTGGAAACGAGCAGCAGGACGTCGTTTAAGTCATACGACGTCGTTTGCAAGTAATAGACTTGCACTCCAAGTCTGAATAATATAAGTTGCGGCGGCTCACAGGCTAAGGTAAGTTTAGGTTACGTAGAAGTGTGTGTGATGCTTAAAACCTACAAAGCAAAATTGGTATTTTGCTCTATATTATATAGAAACGGAAACCAGTCATTATATGCTTTTTTTTAATTTTTATTTTTTACTAGTACAAAGTTCATGATGGCTTTCGAGAAGTGGCAGCAATTGTTTTCTACCGAAAAAAATTGGCATTTATCATTGTTTAAAAAGCGCAAACATAAACCATGCTCCAAGAAAACCATGGCTGCTTTCTCAGGCAAACAATTTGAGGCTGCAAACCCTAGAAATCTAGAGTAACCCAATTTTCCCAGGTGCAACCACTGTTGCTAAATAATTATGTGCAAGTATCTTCTTCTTCTTCTTCTTCTTCTTCTCAAATTAGCCAATTAACCCTCAATTAACAAAGTCATCATATGTAATGTTTGTTAGTGTGTGTGCAAGGGGCCTGCTATAGTTGTTGAGTCTGCAGCAGAAACTTTGCTGGTTCTGAAGTTGCAATGTAGCCAAACTTGGAAGTACTGTACTTCCTGTGAACCCCTGTCAGTCTCCCCGTCGACGCCTTCTGGTGGAATCCCACCATCAAACTTGAGCACTCTCTGTTACCAAGTAATTCAAGAGTTATTAGTAAAGTTTTCAAGTAATGATGATTTAGTTATTGTTTTATAGATGGATGGGAAAAACCAAAAAGGACTCACAAGAGCTGTTCTTCCGAGTAGTTTGTGTGCCACTCGCAGGTTCTGCTCCACTGCTTGAACCCGAAAAGAGTGCACTGAGCAGTGTAGACTGCAGCAGCCGCTAACAAAGATGGTGGAAACTTCAGCATTTGGTACTCCACAAGAGAGAGCTCGATCAAGAAGAACGATAGCAGTTCAATCTGTTTTGAGGCCATTAAAGAAAAAGGACTCAGAATCTCGTTGGTGCGAGAAAACAAAATTGATCTTCGATGAACCACTACTGACCTTGTTGTCGGATTGAGCAGCCTTGAGGAATCTACTCATGAAAACATACGGCGTTGCTACTGACATGTTAAACTGCAGTGTGTTGAGCATCAAGTTCTCCTGCACAAAGGGAAGAAAAATTAGAACTAGTGCTCCAAGAAGTAACTTTATTTCCATAGTATGCGAAACCGTTAAGGATATTCGACCAAAGAAAGAACAACGAATTACCATTTCCAGGACTTCCTGCCTTGTGTAAGCCTTATCGGATATGAGAATCAAATCCCCAACAATAGGAGCAGAAACTTCCTCATACTTGCATGCTAAAAGCATGGCAACCAGACCAACCAACTGAAGTTTCTTTCTTACAACCGTACGCCGGGACAAAAATCTATCGATGAGATTCACAGTAAGAAACAATGTCTCCTTCAACAGCTCAAACTTGTCCTGCACCTGTTGATTCGGATAACCAGATTAGTCATTCGTTAATAAGGTTGATTGAAACAAACTGCATTGATGATTAATGCAAGAGAAACCATTTGCCATTTTCGTAAAATTGATCGATTAGGAAAGAAAAGTAAACCTCAATAAGCCAGTCAATTAGTATAGCCCTCATCTTCTCATTGATGTCACAATGTTGCTCCATATAGTCAGGTGGGACACAGCTAAAACCCTGCAAATATGCGTGTTGGTTAAGTTAGACCACAGTTGGGATGAAATGGATGTTTTTCTTACTTTTGTTTTTCGTCGAAAAAGGATACTTCATTAATGGTTTTTTGCTGAAATAGGAAGCAAATCAAATTCCTTCGTGACAAAAATGTACAAACATTTTACAGAAAATGTTTTGATGTCGATTAAAATGCAATGCCGGATTATTCTTACACGAAAAATTTAAGGACCTGACATAAATGCTTCCCATATGCAGATATTGCTATTCTGTTATGACCTTAGAAAGAAATCAACTAGAGATTTACTTGTACTTCCAGATATGCAACTCTAATTAGTACAGGCACATAGCAAGTTCTTCGGGCGCGTGAAAAAGTTCTTCAGCATGCCTTCTCGCGAATAATTCAAGTTATGTTTCTCGAGTAATTTGTAGAATTTCATATCAAGGATCATTTGAAAATGAATTTGTTAAGCCTAAATCTAAATGGTTCGGTAATAAAACAGTGAGCAATTTTTACCTCCGTTCTCCTATAGTAAGCATAGAGATCCTCAACATAGTCTACAACTGCAAGCGGATTCTTCAAATCGCTGCCATCAATGTCCACAATCGGCTCTTCCACAATGTCCACCATTTCAACCTCCTCCTGTAAGATCAAATTTTAAACAAATCAGCAAACTGGGTTTTTCCAACAAGTAAAAAAAAATTAAAAAACTCAACATGTTTTACAGAGAGAAGGAAAGATATACCGCATCGTTTGCTTCCTCCGGCTCTGGTTCTGCTTGTTCTAAAAACATGGGCTCTGCATCCTCCGGCATTGCTTCTGCTTGCTCTTCAGGGGACTTGAATTCGTCATCTACAAATATACTAGTGCGATCTCCAAAACCAGTTGAGTTGGTGGCTGTAGCTGTTGTGTTTGGCACCTTGGAGATCTTAACTTCCTGCAGATATAAATTACACCAACCCAATCTATCAAATAAGGTAAAACAGATAAGAAAACTTGGAAATCAATCCTGGGGACGGATAGCGGTACCTTGAAACAAGATTGCTGAGTGCTAATTTGTGCAGCAGACTTCCTGTAAAAAATGCAAATCAATTCAAATTTCATAACGCAACAATTCAAGTAAAATTTAAAAGCAATAGAAGGATCAAATTCAAACCTTGTGATTGGTCTGTGCGCTGGATCTGCCTGTTTCTTCTCATAAACTTCATGTGTTCTGAGATTAGAACATAAACACACAAAAAACATTAATAAACGAAAAATAAATTCAAGAAATCATCCCTGTGAAAGATGAAAAATGCGAAATGCAATAAGTTTACGAAAATTACTGCAAAAAGGGTCTCTTGTTAACTACACAAGGGTATGCCGGAGCTCCTGACAAACTCTGATTAATGACTCCAAAAGCCCTCCTGGTCTGCCTAATCTGCTGCTGTCCACGCTTTCCGGCACATAGTCCTCCTTTATGTTAATCAAAAACCGAAAAAAGTCAGAATCTTGGGAAAATTTTCACTCTCAAAATCTCAAATTCTAAATGCCCAGATTGCAAAAAAATAACCCCATTTCAGTGATTCATTCACCTCGCATATTTGTGTGTCTGGTCAGACTAGAACGGTTCTCATTAGAAACAGCCATTCTTTGAAGTTTAGGATTCCTTAAGGAACAATCAATCAATCAATCAATCAAATCAAACCCAATTGAGCAAAGAGGCTAAGAATTCTCAGTCACCCTAAATTTCTTCCCTCCAAGAGAGCCTCTAGAGAGAGAAAGAAAACAGGGAGAGAGGGGGGGGGGATTGAAATCTCTGCAAAATACAGTGAGTTGTAGTAGAGAATCTAGAGATAAAGACAGAGCTACTCATAAAGGACAGAAATCAGTGGGTATTTGTCCCAATAGGATACCCTTCTACATTTTTCAAATAGAACGGCTAGTGCAATCTGACCGTTGGATCATACGGATTGAGATGACTTTCTAGGTAATGCCCCTATAACAACGGTCACCTGGGTTGGCAATCGCATGTGGGCGTCGGCCTAGGGCCCTATGACCCTATGGCATTTCAAAATTAATCTAAATTTCATGTCTCAAAGTGAGAACTTATTCAAATTTTTTATGAATTTTATCCAATGATAGGGGGTGGGACTCCAAAAAACTATGCGCTCCTGCCCACCGGAGCCTTCTGTTTCTTTTTTTTTTTTTTTTTTTTTTTTGGGAAATATTAAAACAACATATTACGATAATTGTCACCTAATTAGAATGGTCGTATTTAGAGCACTTCCACCGGAGGTGGAATAGCCCAGGCGACATACCAGCCCATTTCGAACAGACCCAGAAGCCGGCCTATTTGGCTAGCGCATGCAGAACACTTGCAACTGGGCGCGAGTAAGAGACAAGGGTGCAGGCGGCGGGGCCCGCTTGTCAGCCCACTTGTGTTTACCCGGATGAGGGCTACGTGGCCCTCCTCAGAATCGTTGGATTTCCAATGGCTAGTTTTTGTAGGCCATTGGATTTCCAACGGTAAAAAAAAATTAAAATTTGACTTTTAAAATGGACCATCCGATCATAAATCAACGGTCCACGTTTTTTTCACCAAAAAAAAAAGGCCCAACCGTCAGAATTTTGACCGTTGGCCACGTGGCAGCTCGTTGGCTGTTGGATTTGAATATTTTTCAAATCCAACGATCCAGATTAATTAACAACATTAAAATTTATTAAAAATTATGAATTTTTTTTTTTAAATACAGAAAAATTTAAAAATAATTTCTTTTTTCTATAAATACGTAACCCTCAACTTCCACCTCACACCACATTTCAATATTTTCTACACTTTCTACATTTGAATATTTTGTACACTTTGAGAGAAAAAAATGACTTCGTGGAAGCTCATTGAAGATGTTACGTTGTCTAAATGTTGGGTTTACACTACTCATGATCCGATTACGGGTAATGAGATGGATAAGCGAGAAATGTGGAGTAAAATTACGAAAGTGTTTTGCGATGTACATGGAAAAGATGCCAGATCTAGTCAAGGTCTTCAAGGTCGTTGGAAAAAACTCAACGCATCCTTTACGTGGCGTGTCGGGATTGGTTGAAAATCTTATCAAAAATTTATCTACAAAATAGTACGTTCGGATAATGACACGTGGCGTGACAAGATTGGTTGAAAATCTTATCGAAATCTTGCCTAAATTATTGTAAACAGGAAGTGACACGTGGCTTGTCGGGATTGGTTGAAAATCTTAGCGGAAATCTATTCACAAAATAGTACGTTCGGATAATGACATGTGACGTGACGAGATTGGTTAAAAATCCTATCCGAAATTAAAACTATTTTTTTAATTTATTATTTTATAAAAAAATTATTTAATATTTTAAATGGACTGGGTGCCAGCGCATTTTGTAGGGGTAAAGATTGTTTGTGCCAACGCATTTTTAGACTGGGTGCCAACACATTTTTTTTTTGGTGGAGATGCTTTGGCCTATTACTGTTCATTAAAGTCTATTACTGTTCACTAAAGTGGATAAATGGGCTAGATGCTGGCGCAAAGTCTTTAGGGGTGGAGTTGCTCTTAGAAGATTATTAAATTTTGGATATTGTAGCATCTAACAGAATTGGTGTGTACCTTCTTGGGATGACCAAACTATTTCTAAGTTTAAATTTTAAACTAAAAGACTTCAATCTTCTTAGAGATGTGTAGAAATTAAGGGGATTAGTATTGTATTTATTCACAAATTTGAATTCTTCAGCGTTGCTCGAATGTCTACTGGGCAAAAGTTTCTGATTGCGATGGTAACGTGATTGCTTTTTTATTTTAAAACTTACGATGTTAAGCAGCTAATGAGAGTGTTTCTTTTGTTATATTGTTGTTTACGCTGGTAATGTACTCTCGCGCCAAAGCAAGGGAGAGTTTGAAGAATCACGGGTAGGTTTGTAGCGCGAGAGGCTATGATAAAATCTTGTAAACGTATTGACAATATTTTCTATTGCATTTATTTAAAAAATTAACATGATTGCCCAATTTTGGTATATAAATTTTTTCAAGCGAGTTTGAACATGACTGACATCATTGCTTACACATGAGACCAATGCAAGGGGGCTCTACTATTGTATATGAAATCTACTTATATTAGAGAGTGCATTAGTACTGACGTTAGTTGAGTGTGTCTTACTTAAATAGAACAATCCTTTAATACAATACAATACACCAAATTTAAAATGAATGAAGGAATTACTGGAGAAGGTATGAAGAAATTATCATATCAGCTTTTTGGTGGCACGTTAAATACTTTCCATTAATATGAAAGGCAAGATAAAATAGGGAAATAGGGAACAAAATAACATGATAGCGAAAGCGTTATAAATAGATTAGAATTAAAACAATATTAACCAATATGAATCAGGTTGACTAGAACAATGTGATTTCTACATGTGCAACTAAGTTCCAATTTTACTTCCCGCATCCACTTATTACACTACAAATTTAGTGATATTTATCTGTCATTCTAAGTAAGAGATCTTAAGTTCGAATTTTGTAACTCGATTCTAATTTATTTTCACCCTTTAATGTAAATATTTTGTTGTATAAAAAACTCGATATAGTTTTTAGATTAGCTTAATATAAATTAGTAAACAAAAAAAGAAAAATCATTAACTTGCGTGGCACAACGTGAAAAAGTTAAATCACTGCAAAATAACTATACAAGTCGATATCCAAAGTTGAACACTTATTTCGCTACCTCTACTGTTACTCACTTTGCAAACATGAGATCCAGCCATTTGTAGTATATTTCAAAAGTGAAACGAGTTTTAGACAAGCCCAGGCAAACACATGTTCTTATTTGTCTATTGATTTTCCTATAATTCGTTCAATCTAATGGCAAAAAATTAACACGGACGTGTAGAAGTAGAAAAAAGAGGTGTTGAATGCCTAAAGCTAACCAAAATTGATAAAGGTTCACCCATACTCATTCAAAAGACGATCCTCGAACGAATTATTAAATATATATATATATATATACAAATTTTGTCATACAAAATATTTCACAATGCTCCTTAACCAGCATAACTTTGTCATACCTAAGCTAACCAAAACTGTTAGAACCGATAAATAAAAGGGAAAGGAGTACAGGGAAGCAAAATGTTACAATGTGCAAAACCTGGGGTGTATCTGAGGACCTTTTAGAGATACACCTGCAGTGCAGAAAGCAAAGGAAGAATTATTCATGAAAACTGAGAGAGAGAGAGAGAGAGAGAGAGAGAGAGAGAGAAAGAGGGGGAGGGGAAGAAGGCACAGTAAACACACATGCCATTTTTGTTAGTTTACAACAATAATTTCACTTGAAGAGACTAGATAGTCGACGGAGACCAGATATTGGCTTTTCTGCTACTTGTTTGCGTTTCCGAATCTCCTCAACCCCACTGCTGAAATGACTAGATGGTGGAGGTGGACTGCTTCTCTCCTCATCTGTTTCTTGTCTGAGTTCTGTAATCTTCTCACGGATCACTTTCCTTGTTACAGGATACCTTCTCTGCTCTAACATATTTTCCGGATTAAGAGTCTCCTCCCGACTTGAATTACACTTCTTAATATTCTTCTTCTGCTTATTCTGGAACTTATCATGCTTATCATTCTTGGAAAGCTCTCGCTTTTTCCCAATCACCTCTTCTGGCAACTGACGCTTTTTCTTCTCTAATATATTTCCCAGAACTGAAATCAACTCCTTCTGGGGTAATTGAGTTGTTTCAACAACCTCTTGATTATCGATAGCAATGTCTGGATCCAAAGCTTCTTTCACCTTATGTTTCTTGGACAAATCTTCTTTTAGTTCAGGGGTATCAGTTGTACGGCCACGTTTTCTATCCTTAGTGAAATTTTTGTCAATGCTCTCCGGCTGCAGGTGGTAGTCGTCCTCGTTCTCCTGAACAACTTCCTTCCCTCTCAAAATCCCACTGTCCATGGTTTCTAGAATAACTTTTCCTAAAACAAACCTAATCTCACGCATATGACCTTTCCCAAGTGAGTGGCAATCAATCTCAAAATTCTTCCTTCCTTGATTGTAATATTCGATGTCGTTGGCCAGCACTTCAACAATTGCAGCAACATGTTTAGCCATATTCTTTGATAAAAACACCTGAAAGAATCACACATATGAAATAACATATAAGCACTCCAACCAAAGAAAAATTTTATACAAGCACACCAACAAATATTTCAGAACTGCTACAAGGGCTACCACCACACCAGGGATGGCATTTTACAGTAACAGCAAATAGTAGGCATGATACGGTAAAATTGTAAAAGGTAACACTTAGGGCTGGTTTGGTATTGCTGTGCTTTGAAAAAAAACTGTTTTTGTTGTGCTGTGAGAATAAGCTTATTTTTGCTGCTTCACTGTTTTCAGCTTTTTTTCACCCAAAACTGTGAAAATAAGCTGTTTTTAAGTGTTTACCAAACCAGTACTTAGTTTATAGTCCAAGGATTTGTGACATACTCCTGTAATACAAAATCAAGGCATGATATGGTAAAACTGTAAAATGTAACAAAAGTTTAGATAAAAATTATGCGATGTGGTTGAATATTAATACCAAGTTCTATACCAACAGCACTTAATGATGGGATGAAGAAAATGCAGATAAGTGGCATGAGAGACACATTGAGTTCCAGCTCAGGAAGTGAATATCAATAAGACGTACTTACCAACCCAGAGAATGGAAAAACAGGATATCTGGACATTGATTCATCGGGATCTTTCGTTGCAGTTAAAGCGGCAATATAATCTAGCACAACAGAAGCTAATTGTGAAACTTGTTTTGCAAGTTCTTCCTCTGATTTAAATTCACACGAGCCTGAGATCTCAGGTACATAGTTAACTATTGATGCAACATTCTCTCTGGAAAATTTAACACCTTCTTTCCATTCTTCATGATACAGTACGGAAGCAAAAGTCAACACTACAAGAGCATCTTGTGGGTTATTGACTAGTGCCAGATGAAATGCCAACAGTCCGACCCTGTTATAATGACAATTAATTAGCAGTGACATCTGCAGTACATATAGAAACCCAACTATTGTATAAAAAAACTGAAATGCCAACGTGATTAGAGGTAAGGCACAGGGCTCAGCTAGCATAGGCTCATTGTCATATAAATTGGTTAAAAAGAAATTTAAAATAGTGCCCAGGACCAAGTTCATATCAATAAATGAAATGCCACGATGTGTTGGATATTATAATCTAATAGAAGCAATAAACAATTTATCTCACCATAAAGAGCAGTGACCAGGCCGATCACAGCTAACCACTTTATCCATATTCGAGAATAATTTCTGTTGAAAAAGAAAGAAAAATCAAAATCCAACGAAACTGCAGGGTTGGGCATAAATTAATTTGGCTCCACATGAAAGAAAAAAGAGTCATAGACTACAGACCTACATTTTGAGTAATAGAAAAACAAATACCACAAACACACACATAACCGTTGTGGAAGAAGAATTAGAAAACTCTCAACAGTTCTTGTTCCATAAATTATATTCAGGAGACGTGATAAAAGTTATAACATTATTAACATATTAAAAAAAAGATATTTTCAACTTAGGATTTAAGAAAACTGAGACCCTTCTAGATCATATTATTGAAGAATCCAACTTAGAAGTATCTCTGCAATTTGATTCCTCTTCAAACTCTTGCAAAGTTACTGTATCAAACCACACTCAATTTGGGATGCAAAGAGATCCTTCTGTAGTTTTCAATGCATTGATTTTTACAAATCCTATTATTCTTCTTCTTGCACAATCTCCTAAGTTTCCAGGATTATGGATTTAAAAATCTCTTTGGTTAAAAATTAAAACATAAGGAACTTTTTTTTAGTGCTTACCATCAACATCGTGGAACTCTGAACACCTTTCAAGTTTTTACTCTGTTGATCAAAGTATGCTGCCTGCAATGGTATCAGTTTGTATCAGATATGCACCTAATGACTTATGGATTTATTTGTGATATATTTTTCTTTAAGATAAATGACTAATTCATAATATGGTGGTCAAGATCTGAACAAACACGTACATGAAAGGGAAACAGAACTCTGATTAGATCAAATCTCCACAGCAAACATAGTGACGCCTCAGCAGCTCCATAAGAAAGCATATAGTCCATCTCCATCATTATTCTGGACTGAATGGACAAAGGATGTCAATTTGAACAAGTGCTATCGGACATTATCCCTCCCAAAGACAATTGGAAAACAACCGAGCCAGCATGTAATCTCATATAAATAAAGTTCTTTCAGATGTACCTTACTCAAACTCAAAATGGATGAAGAAAGCTTATGCATTGCAGTCTCAGTTTCTTTTGAAAATGACAAGCTCAGACGAGCAGCAATTCTTAAGCCCCGCAAGATTCTTGCTGCATCAGAGAGTTTGCATGTTAACCAGTTATGTTAATCTGATACACTCACTCAGCTGTTGCATCCAGATGGAATCAAAAGTTTCATAAAAGATGGGAACACCTACCACAATCCTCTTCAAATGACAATTTGGCAGAGCCTAGCGTCCGTAGCTAAGTCCATGTCACCCAACAAATAATTCATCTTAATAAACTTCAAATGGTATATACTGAAAGACAATATTTTATAGGAAGGTGAAGATTTCCATAAACAAAGGGACGAGTTACCTTTAATTGCCTTAAGTCCATGATTCCATTGGCATAATCATAGATCTTATTCGTAAAAGGATCAAAGAATAAACTGCTTGCACAAATTCACAATTTTCCTTGTTAAATAAAATTGAATTTTACACAGTTGAAATGAATAGAGAGTATTTAAAATGTTAGCATAGCACAAGGTAGATTGAAAAATCGAAGATAAGAGTTACCTGTTAATAGTGAAGTCCCGATGCATGCTGTTTTTCCAACGGATGAAATCTTTCTTATCACAGCCAGGTGGCCTACAAGATAAACTATCTTTCTCTTTATTTTTTCCTGCATCTCTTGCCACTGTTTCAAAACTCGATACCTGTTTCAGGAATCAGAGCAAGAACAAAAGAACATCAAGATAGGATACTAAATGCAAGTTGCAACAGCTGCATGCTATTTGAATAAGATAATGACATCTAAAACAATAAAAATAGCCATGCAAGATGATACTTAAAAAGTTCACCAACCAACCTCAATGACAGTGCCTTTAACATGCACCCTGCATATAGGAAACCGTTGCCCAACAATATCTGCACGATGAAATTTCTTCTTGATCTGTAATAGCGTTAAACAACCAAAAAAGTCTGAATTTCCCCACATACGCAATTTATCACAATCTACCAGAGTTGAGAAGAAAACTTTGAAACACAGCATTATGAACCTCTTTAAGATTAGCTGTAGTGATCACATCAAAGTCTTTAGGTACTCTTTTGAGGATTAAGTCTCTGACACATCCACCCACTAAGTAGGCCTCAAATCCTGCATACATTAAAAGATATGCAAATCATCCAATTCAGCCAAGTCAAAATTAACTCTTTAGATGAAAAATTTGGACCGACGATTATTGCACTTAAGAGAAGCTACACAAACACAAAACAACACCAATATACATACACACACATATCAACAATGTCAGCGAAAGTCAAACACAATATTACCTTCAGCCTGAAGAAGTTTCAAGACAATCCAAGAGGGCTGCGAAATCATGGAGGGTTTTATCCCAAGGACCCTCGCGTTGACCTTTTTCCACTTGGACATATCAATGAAACCTACACGATCCATAAATTAACAAAAATGCATCATTTACGCAACTCCAATGGCTATCACCATGGCAAGAATCGACCTTTCCCTTCAGATTACACAAATGTATAGACTTTAATGCATATACCTTGGTCTGGCACGGAGTCTGGAACCATTTTAGGGTGAACCTGAGCTTGCAACCCTCCCTCAGACAATGCATGGACGAGTCTCTGCGTATTAGGAAAAAAAACAGCCACCAACTGTTCGACGGAATGCCTCAATGAAAATAAAAGGTTAGAGAGAGAGACAGAGAGAGAGAGAGAGAGAAAGAGAGACCTGTTGCTTGATTAGGGCTCTGAGGCGAGATAGCAAGAACTTGTTGGAGCCTCGCGGAGATATTATCGCCATGGAAGAAGAATATCATGGCGCGCTTTCTGGCACCTTTTTGTGCGTTGCAGCAGCAGCACCAATTTTTTTTCCTCCAATCTTTTTTGGCTTTTCATATAAACCCCTATCGATAAGAGCACCTACCTGTGACCGTTTGCAGTCACCAACTCACCTTCTAACCGTTGTTTTTGAGCGGGTCCCGTTTTAAATTTTGTAGACACAAAAATACTTACTTGTCTTAATTTTGTTTTTGTTTTTGTTTTTCCTTCTCCAAGCCTGGATGTCACACCCAACATACACCATCGCATATTAGCAATAAATTTAGGTTAGAAAAAAAAATGGTAAATACTATGAGTTATAAAACATGGGTTGAAAATCAGTAACTTTTAAAAGACGTACATTATTAACAAAAAAAAAGGATCAATATTGAACGAAGACACGAGGTCGTGATTCGTGTCGATAAACACATAATCAGTAATTTTATAAAAGACAAAAATTAAAAGAGATGCGAATGATTTAAGATGTAAATGAAATCTTGACTCATAGATCCAATCTATCCCACATTGTTAAAAATTAATAATTTTATAAGAGACAAAGATTGGAAGGGTACCCGATTTGAGATGTGAACTTAATTGATAAAAAAACACTTGTTATTTTCTCAAATATGTATTTTTGTAAACAAACTCTTCCTAATTGAGAATCAAAGTAATACAAAATTCAAAATCTTTTGTTTGCTAATCACAAAATCGTTGTAAAACAAAAGTCACAAATCAAAATGATCAGTTAATAATATTTTATCATGTTGTCAAAATGATCTGTGTGTTATAGTCGTTTGGCTAATTTAGTCTTCGTGTTTTCAATTTGACCAATTTAAATATCATGTTTATCTGTGTTAGCCAATTAAGGACGTTTTATTCAATTTTTGTTAGAAAATGTATGAAATATTATATCCTATTATAGAAAAATATTTTTAATTAAAATAATAAAATATAAATTTAAAATGAAAAACAAATAAACAAACGCATCTTGCTATCCGCCTTGTCCTTGACCCAAACCCCAACCTTAACCACATGTGTAGGCAACTCGAGAAACTCATTTCTAGATCCACCTCAATCCTACATGTCACCATGTGAGTTCCATCATTGTTGTCACAAGAAAATTAACCCCAAACCCCTCGCCTCCAACTGTATAATCGAGAAACAAACTACAATTGAGAGAGCCATATATTGCCCCTTCTCTTTATTTAAATTTAAATTTATAGAAAAATACAAATCAATGAGAAATAACACATATAAAAGGTAAAACTTTTAATCTGAAAATTATTAAGGTTGTGAAATAGAAAAGATAGGAGGTGAAGAAAATTGGAAGAGGAGAGAACATCGAAGATGGTCGGGAAGTTTGGGGGTGAGTAATTTTTTTAATTTTTAAATATTTTAAATCAAATACATAATTTTATAAACAAATTTATTATAATTTATAGATTTTAAAGATTCCATGTAAAATTTTTAATTACATAAAAAAAATAAACTTAAAGATCAAATTGACCAAATTAAAAATACGAGATTAAATTGACCAAATGTGGTTTCAATTTGTGAAATCTACGTGTGATTATTTTAATTTTATTATTCATGTTTTATATATACCTTCCTTGGCTTAGGTGGGCTACGTCACCTCAGATTCCACCAAATAATTATTATTTTATTTCGTTATCAAATTCTACTTTCTTTACCTTTCTCCCATTGGCATTCGTTCATCAGCTCTCTCTCACTCTCCAATCCCCTACCGTACGTCAAATTCTCGTCCGCTGCTACTTCCGCTGAGATTTCCACTGCCGCTCTGATCCGTCTACTTCCATCAGTGACTTTTTTCCGCTCTCAATTCCTGAGTGTACGGACACCTCCGGCTATGGGAGGAGGAAGTGAGGGTTCTGTGGACGACGCTGCCCAATCCGACGGCGGACATGGAGTCAAGGTCAACGTCAACGTCAAGTGCTCTAATGGCTCCAAGTTCACCGTTCAGATTGGCCTCGAATCCACCGTTGGATCGTTCAAGGAAGTCCTCTCGCCGAAATGCGACATTCCGGCCAATCAGCAGCGGCTGATTTACAAGGGCCGGATCTTGAAGGACGATCAAACGCTCCAAAGCTACGGTACTATCTAATTTCTTATTGCTATACATTGTTCTTATTTAATTTTATTTAATTTTTGCACGGTGTTTGGTTTGTGGTTAAAATTGAGAAGGATTTTTACTGTTGTGATTGAATCAATGTGTTTGCGGATCCATTTTCGTTGTTTTTGCTTTTGAATGTAGATGCATTTACAGATTACTCTTATGGCGGTAAAAAATTTGCAGCCACGGTAATGTAGCTTACTGGGAAAAAAGTTGCAACCACGGTAGTATAGCTGAAGTTCAATCTTCATCCTGTTTGGAATTTTGGATTGTACAGAGACTGGAACGTGTAGTTTTAGGTTTGTTCGTTTGGTAATTAACTCCGATGTTATGGTTGAGAGAATTAGAGAAGTCAGGACATAAAACTTGAACGATAGAGGCCAAGTGTCATTAGGAGCAGAGAGATTTCGTTATCGAATAATAGGGCAGGCATCAGTAGGAGTAGAAAGCTTCGTTATCTCATAGACATATAATATGGTTGCCCCTCAAAGGCTCTTGACTAAGAAGCTTTGCCCTGAAGTTTCCGGGTGCAAGTGTCTTATTTAAAGAACACTGGGGGAACCCTGCTTGTTTTATTTTCTTGTAGTCGTTGGTAGTGCTGCTTGGGGTGCATGCTCTAAAGTTATTTGCTTAGATATTCAACAATTCCCAGCAAAGGAAATTGTGTTTCATGTAGAAAATGATGATTTAAGCTTGGATGCTTTGTTAACTGAAGGTTAAGATTTATATTGGAGCATTATTGGATTCATTTACAGCTTTAAAGATGTTTTGTTATTCAGATAAGTCTTGCTCAAATGTAAATTATATTTTTCATTTAAATAGGTTTGGAGGCAGATCACACTCTTCACTTGGTTCGTGCTTCAGCAAACACAGGAGTTGCAACCAATGCCAGAGCTGCAAATTCTACCCAAGCAAGGGGTGTTAGATCTAGCGAAGGCAGTGGGACACTAGGAGGGTCTGGTTTTGGAACCTTGCCATCCCTTGGACTTGGACTTAATGGCAATGGGATGGGTGGTGCTGGTGGTCTATTCGGAGCTGGGTTTCCTGAATTTGACCAAATGCAGCAACAAATGACTCAGAACCCTAACGCGATGAGAGACATAATGAACATGCCTGCCATTCAAAATATTATGAATAACCCAGACATTATGCGGAACTTGATTATGAACAACCCTCAAATGCGTGAAGTTATTGATCGAAATCCTGAGCTAGCACACGTGCTTAATGATCCTAGCACCCTCCGTCAGACACTTGAAGCAGCAAGAAACCCTGAGCTTATGCGTGAGATGATGCGCAACACTGACAGAGCCATGAGCAACATTGAAGCCACTCCTGAGGGATTTAATATGCTCAGACGCATGTATGAGAACGTACAAGAGCCGTTTATGAATGCAACAACTATGGCTGGAGATGCTGGGAGTGACGGTTCAAACCCATTTGCAGCTCTTTTGGGGGCTGAAGGTGGCAACCAAATCATCGCTCAGTCCACTAACCAGTCAACAGTTAGTTCTGATTCAACAACTGGTTCTCCTGCTCCAAATACTAACCCACTTCCCAACCCATGGTCCTCTGCAGGCAGTAAGCTCCTGCTCACTTGCTTCTATTCTGCAATATTTTCGTTTTCAAGCAGTACAGCTTAAACTTTGTTTGCTTTGAGTCCCTTATGGTGTTGGGACGTTGCACAATCTTATGGCATAATCGATTTTTATCTCATTCTATGTTGTCCGGATAGAGATGTGGCATTTTGTCTTTCAGTCAATGGCACAAAGTTTAAAGGGAAAGAAAAAATGTTCTCCTTTTCTAGCACTTATATTTTATCGAAGGCAAGTTGGGCTCGTGAACTAGATAGGAGGTATTAGGATTTTCTCATCCTTCATGAAGCGGAAGAGATATTACCACTTAAGCTACTTAGCATGCATCATCTCTTTTTAGAGTTGAGCTAGTTTCGCCTTTTCTAAAATAACATTAGTAGCAGCTGGTTTGTAGCAATATTAGCCACAATACAGTGAAACATTTTATGAAACTTGTTAACCTTACTTCCTCTGGTTAAGATCAAGATTTTGTGTTCCCGTTTTGTTGTTATACAAAACCAATCAGTTGTTGACTAGATCCAAATTTAGCAGCTGGTGTTGGTCAAACTAACACCGCATGGTCGAATCCTTTCGGGACTGCTATGCTACAGACACCGTCTGGCACAGCTAGAAGTAGCCTAGCTGGAATTAGCTACCCAGAGTTAGAAGGAGCATTTGGTGCCATGCCGCAGGATAGCAATTTACTGAATCAGTTGATGCAAAATCCAGCTGTTTCTCAAATTATGCAAAGCCTCCTCTCTAATCCTCAGTATATGAACGAGGTATTATTTTATTCTCTATTAATAGAATAGGTTGAGGATGAAATTTATTCTTTCTTAACATTATTTGACTGCAGATTCTAGGTTCCAACCCCGAGTTACGCAGCATGCTTGACTCCAATTCTTATTTAAGAGAGATGATGCAAAACCCAGAATTTCTTCGTCAGTTGGCTTCTCCTGAGACTATGCAGGTATATTTATTCGGGGTGCCTAAGGTTTTGAATTTTGAAGTTTTTGTTTGTCTAAGTTGCCGAATTCAGTCAAATCTTGTCAATAGGAATAAATGGTAATTCTTATCATTGTCATTCTTAATGTCTGGGAGACAGTGTCCTTAATGTCTGCATGAGTAAAGAGGGTGAGGTTGGATGTCTTAATGATTAGTGGTACCTATTTAATTTTTGCTTCTGTATTGGCTTTGTTTTTTCTTTTCTATCTTGCAGATGCTCTTGACTTTGCAGCAATCACTTCTGTCGCAACTTGGTCGGCAACAGCAACAGTCAACCCAGTAAGAAGTGACATAATTTTTTCTTTGATATGTCTGATAGATATGGCCTGAATTGATATTTCTCCCTTAGCTGCTTGCGGATTCCATATTGATCACTACATATTAATTATAT